AAAACACTTGTCTTATCAACAGGAGATCCTGGGTTCAAATCACAGTGTTTCCTAGCTTAAAGTATATGTCCTGCAGGCCTTTGCTTGGCTTCTGTGCCTAGCATGAAAAACCTTGTCAGATGGTCAGTAGAACTCTTCTTCCTGATTGTTGTTAGTTCATTTTCCCTCAATCGTTCCAATATGTGACCCTGGACCACAAAACCAGTCTTAAGTCACTAATGAAGACTTACAGCAAACGTTTGACCTCTGTCATTGCCACCAAAGGGTATATAACAAAGTATTGAGATGAAATTTTGTTATTGACCAAATACTTATTTTCCACCATAATTTGCAAATAAATTCTTTAAAAATCCTACAATGTGATTTTCTGGATTTTTTTTCTCATTTTGTCTCTCATAGTTGAGGTATACCTATGATGAAAATGACAGGCCTCTCTCATCTTTTTAAGTGGGAGAACTTGCACAATAGTTGGCTGACTAAATACTTTTTTTCCCCACTGTACATCTCAATTTTGAGAAATTGACCCTTATGACTGGTTTTGTGGTCCAGGGTCGCATATGAGAAAGCAGTGTTGGAATGCCTGCCTGCCTCCCTGCTTTCAGTTGGTGCAGTGGCTTAAAGTGCCTGTCTCGTAAATAGGAGATCTTGGGTTCAAATGCCAGCTGTACATTTGCCAAATGAAAGAAGCCGTGTGAATGACGTTTTCTCTTTTTTTAACTTGGACATGTAAGAGTCCACCAGAAAAGCTTGAGGATGCTGAGGATAAATGCTTCATTATGTGTGGTCATTAGTGATGTTACGTTCGTGAACAAATCGTTCTTTTTGAACAAATCTTATAGGTGAACGAATCGTTCTTGTTCACATAATCTGTTGACTCATATTTCTCATTCACTGATATTCCTCCCTTCATAGCAGCGTGAACAGTGAACAGGTTAGCTCTGTGAAATTTTTCATCCAGTCAAAGACTAAACCTTGAGCCAATAGCCTTCGAGTATGAGATGGAGCATGTGATTTGTTGAATGCAGTGAACGAATACGCCCTTCACTGAACAAGTTTCTTTTGAGTCTGAATGAGATCGAGAGATCTTCTCATTCGTGAATGAAATGACTGAACTGGTACATATCTCGTTCGTGAACGAAATGAATGAGAGTGTCCGTCGGGTCAGTCGGCCATTTAGCAATTCAATCTCGATCAGCAATCAGCAGAAAGCGGATGCAAATCGTAGTTATAGGTACTGTGCACATTGTTTATATATTTATATTTAGCATACAGAACATAACTCCACGTTTAGTCCCTGATTTATGAATGTGTAAATGTCTGACCAAACAATTAAAATTATAATTATGCAAGAAAACCTTGTGCTTTGGTCATCTGAACAACTTATTTAGACTTTATTTATTTAATGAGTAGATTATGCACACATTTTAATAAAGCCAAATCAGTTTTTTGTAATAAGTAAATACATTCGTTGACTTAAAACATAACACATAAGACACAAAATATATTTATGTGATGGTCATTGAATTAATCTGAACGAATCATTTTGGTCAACGAATTGAAAATGAACGAATCTCTTGAAAGAATTAAAATTTCCACCACTGGTGGTCATTCATTACATCTTGCAAATATGTTTTTTTTTTCTTTTGTCCAAACAATGAAATTAAGGATCAGCAGGTACAATGCTAGATCTACTAAGGATCTTTCTGCAAGACTTGCCTTTTTATATATATATATATATATATATATATATATATATATATTTCCAAACAATGAAATCAAGGATAAGCAGGTACAATGCTAGATCTACTAAGGATCTTTCTGCAAGACTTGCCTTTTTGTGTTTCCTGGGTCTCGTCACTGCTCCGGTAGCAGACAACTTGTGCAGTAGCTTAGATAGTTAAAGTACTTGTTTAGTAAACAGGAGATCTTGGGTTCAAATCCTAGTAGTGCCTTCTATCTTATTTG